TGCTTCCAAGCCGTGCTTCCAAGCCGTGCTTCAGTAAGTATGGAATACACTCAGTATAGGTGTCACATTGACTGCTCATACTACTAGTTATTCGTATCTTATGGGGACTTGAACCCAGTAAGTACAACTTAAGCTGAACCGCTCAGTCACTACTACATAGTACTAGTCCTGACACTTGTAATCTATAGATATTTCTCAAATATATACTTTCATTTTTACATAATTAGTGGCTGTTAATGCCTTCCATAATCGCAGCACCAGCACCAGCACCAGCACCAGCACCAGCACCAGCACCACCTCCAGGAACCTCTCTAGCTCCAGCTCCAGCTCCACCAGCTGACTTCCACCCTCTAGCTCTAGATTTATTTGTTTTACTATTATGTGAAAAACACTGTACCTTACATGTAAAGCTCTAGCTACAGTCTCAAGCTCCAGCTCTGAGCTGGATGATACTGATTACAGTATTGGTATTGCTGACACTAGTGATGCTGATATCTATACTACAACTGTGGGAAAAATTGAAATAGTTTGAGAAAAGGAAATACTAGTAGTTTAGCAGAAGTAGATCTAGTACTGAAATTACAACTACTACTATTATTACTTTTCTGCTACTACTTCTGTTTTCCATATAGTACTAGTAGTATAGTAGTAGTACAAATATATGCATAATTGTAATAGTTTGAGAAAATGAAATACTAGTAGTTTAGCAGTAGTAGATCTAGTACTGAAATTACAACAACTACTAGTAGTATTACATTTTCTGCTACTATTTCTGTTTTTCATAGTAATAGTACTAATATAGCAGTACTTATTATGCTGTTTTTCATATTGGTAGTAATACTGATAGTGATACTGGCTGATACTGATGAGGTTTGGCTCAGGCTYTGGCTTGAAGTTTGGCTTGAGGTTTGGCTCAAACTTTGGCTCCAGCTTTGGCTCAGGCTTTGGCTTGAGCTTTGGCTCTAGCTTTGGCTGACCTAGAGCTAGGGCTAGAGCTAGAGCTAGAGCTAGGGCTAGAGCTAGAGCTAGACCTGTATTTATTGCTGCAGCATCTAGATCTAGATCTAGATCTGAAGATTTAGATCTGAAGATTTAGATCTGGATAGCTACAGTTACAGTTACAGCTACAGCTACAGCTACAGCTACAGCTACAGCTAGAGAAGCTATCTAGCTCTGGCTCTAGATCTAGATCTACATCTAGATCCTAGTACTACTACTATCATTACTAGCTACAGCTCTAGTTCTAGGCCTAAGTCTAGATCTAGCTCTGGCTCTAGATTGCTTTCCGTTACTATGTATTACGTCACACCGAAGTGTTCTACTACGAGCTACTTCATAATAATCATASGATCACACGATTGATCATATCATACGTACGGTACGGGGAAAAACCTGAAAAAACCCGGGGATCGAACGCGTGAGAAATCACACTGAAAACACGTGTTAATTTCACGAAAGTGTGAAATCTGGCTGCATCGAACACGATTGCTATTGCTATTGCTATTGCTATTGCTATTGCTATTGCTATTGCTATTGCTATTGCTATTGATGTTGATATTGCTATTGCTATTGCTATTGCTATTGCTATTGCTATTGCTATTGCTACTCACTTACTATGTATTACGTCACACCGAAGTGTTCTATTACTAGCGAATCATACGATCGCACGATTGATCATATGGTACGGGRAAAAACCTGAAAAAACCGGGCAAGAAATCACACTGAATTCGCGTGTTATTTTCACGAAAGTGTGAAATCTGACTACGCGAGTTCGATTTGCACCGAAGCACGAGTGTCGATGCTTTTGAATCGATATTTCTGAGCTCCATTGGAGCAAAGCTGTCTTGCTCCGACGTTTCCGAGCACTATATTTTAGTGGGAAACCACACTGGAAACCCTAACAAAAAACTAGACCAGATGAAATCCGACTGTGCTAGTAGGCATACACTCGGACACCAGAGTGAGAAATCCAATCCAGGGGCTGATTGAATTTCAATCTGGCGTCGCGAGTGCCCCTCAAGCATCTGCTTGCAGCCCTGGCTAAAGCAAATCCAATTCTTGATTTAACAAGGCTGCATACCTGAGAGTAGTGGCGCCCCCATTTGGCAGCAAGTTTGGCACCAAGCTGTTTGCGTGCTGCAATTGCTTCCTTGCCTTCCATGCCATCGATGGAGTAGACCAGAGGAGTGAAGTGTCGATGGGCCTCATGGCAGAGATCCAAATATTTCTCCTTTTTCTCCCTTTCATGCTGCTGGAGTAGCTTCCAAGGAGCAGTCTTTTGGTAGGACTCCGCATCAGGGACCTTCCAAGGAGGTGCGGCCGGAGGAGGTGCGGCCGGAGGAGGTGCGGCCGGAGGAGGTGCGGTGGAGGTCGATGCCGGGCGAGTCAATGATGCCGCATCCTTTGCATCCGACGCAGTCTTATTTGCAATATTTGCATCCGAAGCGGTCGCATTTGCCTCCACACCAGTCGGTGAAGCTGATGAGGCGGCAGCTGCATTATTTGCATTATCTGGAGCGTTCGATGAAGCTGAGCCGGCATTAGTTGCAATATCCGGAGCGTTCGATGAAGCTGAAGCTGCAATGTTTGCATCCCGAGCGGTTGATGGAGCTGAAGCTGCATTATATGCTTCCGGAGCATTCAATGAAGCTGCATYATTTACAATATCCGGAGCGTTCCATGAAGCGGAAGCTGCTTTAAATGCAGTATCTGGAGCGTCCGATGAAGCTGAAGCTGCAATATTTGCATCCGGAGCGTTCGATGGAGCTGAGCTTGCATTATTTGCAGTATCCGGAGCGTCAGATGGAGAAGCCTCTGCATCAGTCTCTGATGAATCCTTAATAGCTGCTTTATTAGCCTCCAGGAAAGAGGAAGGGATGGACGCTTGTGAATTATCCAGGAAAGGAGATTGCGAGTCCTTGRCTGCGTCCGCCACTAAAGCTTCCAAAGCTTCCTCACGTGCATCTCTGCATGCCTCCAAAGCTTGGGAGGGAGATTGTGAGTCCTCGGCTGCGTTTGCCAATAAAGCATCCAAAGCGGCCGCCCCAGCATCCTCGGAGGCTTGTGAAGCCCCCAAAGAGGCTCCGGTTGTATTAATAGCTGCAACATTCTCAGCTGTGCTGTTTGCTGCTGGGTCTGTTGCAGCTGTTGGTGCATCTGGGGCTGGTGGATCCTCGGAATCGTATGATTTATCGGGATTGTAATACTCATCAGAACTATATTTTTCATTGGAATCGTAATACTCTCCGGAACCGTAATATTCATCGGAAACGGAACAGGAATGTTCATTGGAATAATAATATTCATCGGAATCATAGGAGTCCTCCAAAGCAGATGCACCTCTCGGGGGGATGGAAGGGGTCTGTGTGAGTGCAACGTMGACCGGGTTAGTTGTGTTGTTTGTAATGTTGTTTTTATGGTTGTTTTTGGTGTCGGTGTTGCCCTCTCCGGATGTCCTTCCCCGAGTGCCTTTGGTCCCCTTCCCACCGGCGGATTCCTKTGTGAATAGGAGGTCGGAATCCTGTGTGAGTTGGATGTGCCTGTGGTTGGGGGCCCTTTTGTTGTTATTTGTGGTCTTGTTGCCGTTGGCGTTGTGTGCAGCATTGTGTGCAGCGTTGTGTTCAGTGTTGTGTGCATTGTACTTGTTCTTGCATTGATGCGTACAATTACAGTTTACACAGCCCTTCCGGGCCTGTAGACAGCTGCAGCCTCTCCTGTTGGTTGTGGGGAGCTGGGCACAAGTTGCTCTATTTGAGCATTGGCAACAAGGGTTTGTTGATGTTTTGGTGTCAGAATCCTCCTTAACTTCATCAGCGGCTGCGGCCTTCTTGGAATAAGAATCATCAGCATCATCATCAGCATCATCGGCTTTTGTATTGTCGTCCGAAGAATCATCATCGTCGGAATAATCCGAAGAATCCGTGTAAGTCTGTCCAGGGGCCCCTGGAGGGGGTCTGAAAGCTGTGGGATCAGCCCCTGGAGGGATGGGTCCCTTGAAACGTTGATGTGGAGGGATTGGAGGGGGGGGGGAGCTTGGTTGGGAAGAAGGTTTCAATTCCACCAGTCGTTGGGTGCAATTTAGATGTGTATTTATTCTTGCAACGTTTGAAGCAGGAACAGTTTACACACTTCTTTCCTTGACCAAGACAGCTGCATCCAGCAACCAAGCCTACTGGGAGCCGTTGGCAGGTGCTAAGTACAGTGCAATTACAGCAGGGGGTGGGCTTATGCTTATGCTTTTGCCTCTTCCAACTGTTTTCGACAATTTCAGCATCGTCGTCGCGTTTTCGCCCATTTTTGCTGGATTCCGACATTCTCACTGTGTAGGCCTTGGTAGGATTTCTACACGGAGGAAAAACTCCAACAACTGGGAAAAAAGACTGATTTTCGATGCTCGTCGGACCTGAGCTTCTATAGCGCTGGGGGAGGTCTTGTGACTCTCCAGCCAAACACTCAGCACAATGCGTCCGTTCTTTACAGGTACTTGCCCCCAGTGTACTGAAGTATTACCAGTAATGCTGTTAAGATCTTAGCATSGAGCCAGCCGCATGCCTGCTTGGAATGTGTCCGTTCTTCGCAGGTGCTTGCCCCCAGTTTATACTACTGATCTACTGTTAAGCTTATTGGGAATTGAACCCAGTAAGTACAACTTAAGCTAAACTGTTCTACCACTATTACTAGATAGTACTAGAAGAACTGACGCTTGTMATTTATGGATGTTCCTGATACTATATACTATAGTACTCTAGTAGCTCTAGCTTGAGCGCTTTGGCTCTCGAGCTAATAGTAGAGCTAATAGTAGAGCTAAAACTACTAGAGCTAGAACTAGTAGCTCCAGCTCCTCCAGCTCAAGCTCCAGCTTAGTATATTGCTAATATCTCTAATGATATTGCTATTGCTGATAGTGATGCTGATATATTTAGTAGTACAACTGTGTGAAAAATTGAAATAATTTGAGAAAAAGAAATGCCAGTAGTTCAGCAGAAGTAGATGTAGTACTGAAATTACAACAACTACAAGTATTACTTTTTCTGCAACTACTTCTGTTTTTCATATAGTAGTAGTAGTAGTACAACTATGTGCAAAATTGAAATAGTTTGARAAAAAGAAATACTAGTAGTTTCACAGAAGTAGATCTAGTACTGAAATCACAATAACTACTAGTATTACATTCTCTGCTACTACTCCTGTTTTTCATATAGTAGTAGTACTACTGATAGTGATACTATTTTACCTCCAGCTTCAGCTCCGGCTCCAGCTCTAGTGCTATAGCTAGGCATGAATGTTGCTGCTGCTGCTGCTGCTGCTG